TATTTTTCTTTTAAATATCTATTAGAAATATTCAAAACATAACAAATTCAGCAAAAGAGGTCAATGAACTACCTCCATATCCACATGCATATTTCATATTTCCAGTCTGAAATAATCAACCATTTTGAAAATACATTCCATTCCCCAAGATTGACTTTTCACTTCTCCCTGAAAATTCATTGAAACCTTTCTTTTTGATATTTTGAAGATGATAAATTTTACCAATAAAAAAGGTGATCTCATTTGCAAAAAAAAGCCCCACTAAAATAGTGCGATCTTTGTTTTGGCTCTATCAAAGAATTGAAATACAGCTCTATTCAATCTTTTATCAGTGGAGGTATGAATGCACTTCATTCAAGATGGAGACATTCCCCCTAGGCTCTGCTGGACCCTTGGAAACGTGCATACCATTGGTGAAATGAAAGGGATTTCTTCTTCCCTGCTTCCTTGGACTGGTACCCAGGAATCTGTCCAGAGGGAATGGAAATTGGAAGGAGGCTCCTTCTTCATCTCTTGGACCAATACATGTGCATTGCAACAAGAATTCAGAAATGCATCTTCCCTGCTCCCCAAACATTCATGGGTATGGTTCAGAGGGGTTATGTAGTTAGAATATGTGACTCAGAAGTTTGTTATAGTTCAATTCTCTCTCCAATGGAGTATAGTAGCATTTCAATCCAGACCCTGTAAACCTGGAAAAGTCCATGCAACCCTAGGACTAGATGAGGGCCTGAAATTGGCCTAGGGTTGTGATCTGGCCCCTGATTTGCGCAGCAAATACCCAGGTGGATACCGGGTGCTGGCAAGATCCGGTTCAGCCAAAGAGATGCTGGCTATTCAGTGGGATAGCCAAGTACAAGAAGTAGCTTTTACCTGTCCATCCATGTCCATCAAGAGAGGTGTGGTCAATTGATTCCCTGACCCAAAACTGCCTGATTTCAACCCTAAATTGGCCAACAGAATCCAGAATCTGGTCAGATGCTAAAAACCCCCAGAAATTGGGTGCTATGGGGGGATTCCCCAAATATTTAATCCCCAGACTGGGGCAAAGGTAGAGCATCTTGGCTCTGAGTTTTTCCCCCTGAACCCCCTTGTTCACTATATTTTAGCAAAAAGTGTATGAGGAATTTAGGTGGTAGGAAAGACAAGTATGAGTGCTGGATATGCGCGGGGTCAGGGTGTGGGAAGGCACCAGATCAGAGACCTACAGTGCACATCACCTCTTCTCAACTAATCCCAGGAGGGTGTTCCAAATTTTTTCAAAATGGGAGTTGAATTTTTTTGAATTTTTTCACTTTTTTTTCAATAGGGGGTATCAAATATAACCAAATCCACCATTATTTAATTGACTGGTTTGTAAAAATCCACCCTTTTTTAAACATGTTGGTTATTCATTTAACCCCTTTTGGGGCCCTTTCATGCAAAAATATTTTTTGGGAAAAGTGACTGGTTTCTGATGGTGGATTTTGTATATTTGATACCCCCTAATGCCATTTTTTTTTCTTTGGATTTGATTTTTTTTTGAGATTTTTGTCCATACAAATCAGAAGAAGATACACAATCAGAACAAAGCCGTGTACAAAAACCAAAACGCTTGCAATAGCCAAAGCTCCAGCCAATTGAAATCATTGATGAGATCTAATTGTTGCATTCCAAAGGCTGCAATGATGGATGTTTCAATTATGACTGCAAGTTAGTCGGACAACTGGCACTGAGTTTTCCTTTTTTTCTCCTTCTTCCCTCAATATCATGTATTTAGATGGTCTATGTGCATAATACATACCATATAAATACATATTGCATACCAACTAGGCCATAGTATGGCCATTGTCCATGGGTGTTCCAAGTTTTGAATGTGAAAATTGCAGACTTTTTTGTCTTACATGCTACACAATCTTGCTTTATATTTTTGAGTTCCACTACTGAGCTGAAATATGCATTGTTTACACATTTAGCATGGTTGGTGTGAACAAACATACAGATCAAAGTTCAAGTTTTTTTTCCAGGGGGATAGTCAAGAAGAGGTGATGTGCACTGTAGCAGACAGGCTGATATACTCTGAAGTCAAGTCACTTGGCATGCCTGGACTCAATCAGTCTGATACTAGGGCATTTATTCTCCTTCTCTATTCCTTGTTACAGCCTACCCAACAATGCTTGCAACTTTTGGTTGCAAAAAATAAAAATAAATCCACCAGAATTTTTTTTTGGTGTGATGTTCCCTGCAGCCGTCAAAACGTTTAAACAGAACCTCATATATTTGAACACGGTATATGTACTTATGTATGTACCTCCTCGTTCAAATGTAGCTTTCATGACAGCTACAGCTAAGAATCTCACAAATTTGTATTTCTTGGCAACTTTGTTTTTTTTTTTTTTGCAAACAAAAGTTGCAGCCTTTGTGGGTTGGCTGTAATCACTTTTGTAGATCTTCTGAACAGTGGTTTGTCATTCTCCAGCAATCAGACAGTATGAAAAATTCACTATCATTAAAGCATTATGCCAATTGTAACATTTGAATTGATTTAATTGACATTTTTTCAAAGCTTATTGTGAGTTCACATTAATGTACAATTTTGATCATCATGGCCTTCAACTCCTCAGAGGATCTTCCTCTTTGAATTCTTCCATCTCCGAAGATAACAATAGCCGTTTATGATATTCTTTCGTTTCGAGATTTCTTTCGAGAGCGTTGGTTGAGTAATAATAAGCTACTAAGATTCCGGTACTACATACGAGTACCAAAAATAAAACCCAATCAGCAAAAGAGAGTTAAATCATAATCATCCAGTTTCGAGAAGAAGAAACGGATTGGTGAAGCTTATAACATACCTCAGTCCAATTAGCGAATAAATCTTGGGGTGTAGTTTGATGACTCGAGTGCAGATAGTCGTACTCGCTAAGCCAGACGCGATCCCGGCCAAAGTACCATCAATTTGAGCTTTCTTTTTTTGATGTTATCAAAGAAAAACCAGTCGAACTTGCGCAAGTTATTATTGCGATCCACATGGACATCAATTAATTACAAGAAGAGGTTGGGGGTAGTTATTGAAGCTTACTCTAGTACATTGCACGATTTCCTCGGGCGATAAAGTCTCACTAACCATCTTCTCCTTCTTTCATTCTGATGTGTTCTACAAAGGAAGAGCGCATCCGATTGAGGTAATGGATGATTGTATCTGTACAGCGTAGTTATAATGTGTTTTCCGTTTTTATCTCCTTCCTGTGGGAAAGTCGAATCTGTCAAAAGTGATCAAAGGTCAATGTCGTCTCTGTAGTTACTTGAGTCAGACACCCCGGGGGTAAACTAGGCCCAACCCGACACGAAAACACCCTGATCGTACGTACAATTTATTGCCATTTTGGTCACTACATATTGGTATTGTTAATGATCATGATGATGATGACTGTGGTGCAATATGCAGGGATTTTGGGGTGTTGTCCTTTCTGTAAAAAAAAGAGTACAGATTAAAGATACACAAACACGAATGTCTAGCCAGATCATTCATAAACAAACCAAGACAGATACATAATAGAATGAACACCAGTCAAAACAAATAAAAACCAGCAGAAGATGGTGATCTACAGGTTAGAGAAAGAGAGGGAGAGAAAGAAACACGAAGCGAAAGAAGAGAATCTATATTTCAAGGAGTAGAAGAAGGAGGAGAATGAAAGCCAGGCAAAAGGAAGAGCTCCCAAAACCGTTCAGAGACGGTCCCGAACCCGAGCGGCCGATTAAGATCGTAAGCCGATTGGAAGCCTCGGACCATTCCGACGACGGTCCCGTTCTGATGGTCGACGATCGGAGCCCCTGAGGATCCGTTCCTTGGGACTACGTCGAATATGATCGTGTTTAATGGATCATATGTCCCTGGCTAGTTTGTTTGGTGTTATATCCATCCGTTCCCAAAAATACGATCCACCAGAGAAAAGAGCGTGCTTTGGGTTAGCTTTTTTTTGATTTCCTTAGACAAGCAAAAAGAAAGAAACAGGAAGTGAAAGAAAGACGTACGGTAGCTTTGATTCCCATAGTATCTTTATACTCGACCACTCTTCCAACTTCCCATTGGAAACAAACTCGATCGATATGATGAGAAGAAGAAGAAGAGGGGGACAATTGAGGGACAGAGATGGGAGACTTGAGAGGAAGAGGATAGGGAGAAACGGGCAAAGTTCTAAACTCTTTGAGATTATTGGAATCATGATGATCAATCAAACTAAAGAAATGACGAAAAGAATCGATCAGAGAAACCTCGTTTTGTTCGACCAGATCTTCTTGTTGCAACGATAATGACGATGCGGATGAGGGAGAGGGAAGGAGGAGGAGTTTGAAGAAGAGCAAGTCTGCCGAAGCCAAAGCCCCGAGCACATGTTTGACCAAGAAGACGTTCCCGAGCTGATCACGAGCCACGCACCCGGAGCAAATATTACAAGCAGTATTTCTGTCCCTCGAATCCTCTTCCAATTGCGACTGTTTGTGATGAGACTGTTGTAAGAGTGCACGACTCTGCCATAATGTGTGAGCGCAAGTGACCAAGATCCGTTCGTTCGAAGCTTGCGATTGGACCAGGAATCCGGTACAGGTTACCACATGTTGTTGTTCGTGTTCTTGTGATGGTGTGTCACGATCGACCGACCGGTGCGTCTCGGAAACCGCTCGATCGATGGGTGCGATGATGTACGACAAAGACAGGATCCCGGTTCCTATTAATCGTCTTCCTTCAAGCTCCTGCTGGCCCTCTTGACTATCAGTATCAGTGCTTGAAATAGAAGGAGAAGCCGTCGGAACTTCGCCATCATCGCGTCCTAAAGACTCCAACCCCCGATCATCTGTCCGTAAAACTCGTCGAGAACCTGCCGGATCGGCCTCGTATTCCAACAACGCATCCAACGGAATCCCGTCCAATCGATCGGCCTGATCGAAAAGAGTTCCGATAGATGTGAGGAGAGATCTTTCCTGAGACTTCTGGACCCGAGCCAGGAGACGGAAGTAGTCGACCAGCCGCTGCTCGGATATCGTCGGTCCCGCCGCTGCGTTGGAAGACGAACTCCGGAAAGGCGAGGAACGGCCATGTCTTCCTGATTGAATATGTGAACTTGCATGTCTTGTACTCCTGGCGAATATCCTCGTCTTCCTCGCCCTTTCCCATAGATGGTTGAGGGATGGTGGTGCTGCTGTTGTTCTGACTAGTCGGTCTAGTTTCGATGTCATCATTTTTTTGGGATGGGGATCGTAAATAGGAAAAAGAGCTCTCTCTCTCTCTTCGATCAACCCTTCGTCTTCATCTTCAACCATCCATCAAAAACCTCATTCCCCTCAAATCCCCCAACTTTTCCTCATATTTCTTTCTACCCATCATAATGAATTCGGTGCACACACAATTCTTTTCTTGATGTCAGACTTCCTTCCCACCATCAGGATCACATCACAAACTTCAATACCACCCAACAAGACAAGTAAACTAGGCAAAGTCTATCTACATTCAGAACTTCTTACCAGTTTCTTTCAATATCATATCTCCCCTCAGTCTATCCATCATCACTATCCCATAACACGGCCAAGCCGTGTTGCTTGAATATCTAAGCAAATCACTGCCATTACAAACATCGGAGTCTCCATAGCTCAGTGGTTTAGAGCGGCCGCCTGCAGTTATTAGCTGTATAGCGGCAGGTCACGTGTTCAAATCACGTTGGGGACTTGGCATTCCCTTTTTTTCACAGGTCCATGTTGGTTTGGTAGCCCAATTTATGCGAGCAATTACCATTGATGCATTGCAACCAACCATTGAAACCTCCTTTGTTGCTCTTTTGTTTTAAACAGACTGAGGTAATTTGTAGATGAGGAAGTGTCCGCATGATGTCAGAGTTTTTTTTTTTTTGAAAGTTAATTTCCAACTGAACATTCTACAGAGAAAGAGGAATAAAGAGAGATACAGCTATCCTGGATAAGCACACCCATACAGATTTCTGGGTTGCTGTTTCCTTTTTCCCAAATTGGAGACAGGCAATGGTCAAGCAGTCTGTCAAGATTTCTTTCATAGTAAAGCACTATTGAACAGTTTGAGCTCATTCTTTGCCTAAATATTGAACAGTTTGAGCTCATTCTTTGCCTAAACAAACATCTTCTCTTCTCATTTCCAATGGTTACTTTTCAGTTCTGCTCACACAATTTGTGGGGGGGAGGGGGTTGGGTGTGATTTAACTCCTCTCTAATAACTGAATCATCAAATTAATCTGACTGCTGTGGGTTTGGAATGCTCATGACCAGAGTAAATGAAAGAGTCATGCTATCTGTGGCAACGGTGGGCCAATACAGTTGCCTGTATTGGTAGAGCATTGCAAAGTAATGATTTTTTGTTACTTTACAATGTTATTTTTATTAAAATTGTTTGTTTTTTTTACAAAAAAGCCCTTGATAACAGAAAGTACAGGCCTTTTTTGGTTGATACAGCCTGTATTGGCCTGCAATGGCATTGATTTTGCTTCAAACTTCTTGCAATTCTGTAGGGGTGAGAGTGATTTCTTAAGAAGCCAATGGAGAGAGAGGCCAATAGATGACATTGCCATCTGGGAATTGATTATGTAACTTCTGTATAGTATATACCAACCCAATTTACAGCCTGCAGTGGATTTGATCTTATTGCCTTACATCTTCTTTCGGAGCATGGCCACAGGTCACTCTAGTAGTGCAAACTCCTCTGCTTTTTTTGTATATAATCTCATTGATAAATTTGGATCTTAAAGGTGATATAGGGACTTTTAAAACTAACTAGTCCTTCCCTGTTCATTTTTAAGCATAAAAATAAAAGCCAATACTTAAGGGCTTCACATTTCCATTCAGAGTTCTTTTTAGAACCCTTCAATCCCTAAATCAACAACACAATCAAAATTAAAACCAGCTCACATGAGAGCAATTGCCAGAAGGCTTTTGTGAAAACCAAGTCAAAACCACTTCTGGGACTGTTTATATAAGCTTCTATTATATATGCACTCTTTGGCATAGGGACAATTCCAATGTGATTGAATATGAAGAAAGAATACAATTTATTTACTTCATCAAAAAGATCCAGTTTCAAATTGATGTGATGTTTGATTTCCTGTCATTTGTGTACATACATATTCAAAGTCAAAACCAGATGTTTTGAATGAATTTACAAACTTTGAAACAAGTTGTGTTTCAGGTATACTGTATAGTTTTTCTGTATGATTTTCAGCCAGTTTCTGTCTCAGTGGGATTCTAATAGTCAAATCAAGGCACCAAGTTTGATGTTTGTATTGATTTTCATATAAACAAGTTTTGGGTTTGATAAGTTTTAGGTTTGGTAAGTTTTAGGTTTGGTAAGTACTACTAGGTCTGGTATGAATAGTATAGAGATGTCAGCAGGTACCCGCTTGCAGGTACCCGGTACCCGTTTGCAGGTACCTGTTTTCCAAAGCAGGTACCCGGAAACAGGTACCGGGTGCGGGTGCGGGTGTCAACATTTGCGGTAAAAAAAGGCAGGTACCCGGGTACCTGCCTTACACCCGCCCTGGGAATGCTTCCCCTGAAGAATTTAATTTATCATTGGTGGTCCAACACTCCCTTTTTTGGGTGTGTTGGGCTGCACAAAGGTGTCAGCAACCCATGTAGGACACCAGCTGGTGTCTTACATGTGTTGCTGAACTAATCTGGTTGCTTTGTTGAGGCCGGAGGGTTCCCTCCGGCCTTTGAGATGGTGTACAGTCTTGATGACTGGAGGAATTCCTCCAGTCATAAAGACGGTGTACAGTCTTCATCAATGGACATTGAATAAGGCAAATGAGGCCAAGCAAAAGGGTAAAGCTAAAGATAGATCAGAGAGAAGATAAAATTCAAATTGGTGATAGAATAATTTGTTTTTCTTTATTTCTTTATTTTTATTTTATTCTTACTCATATATCTAGTGAATATCAATCTTTTATTTACCAAGTCATGCAGAAATTCAAGGGTGATATTTCTGGGTATATTTGCCTGCAAAAATGTGCCAGGTACTCCCAGGTACCTGGCGCAGGTACCCGGGTACCCGCCCTGGCGGCCCTAGCAGGTGCGGGTGCGGGTGCGGGTATCAAAAATATTGGATTTTTGAGGCAGGTACCCGCACCTGCTACAGGTACCCGGGTATCAAGCGACATCTCTAGAATAGTAGAATATTTAAATTGAAAGATTGGTAGAAAATTGGAGAAAAGAATCCCCCATTCTACTTTCAATCAAAATTTGAAATCAATTTTCATTCTCATAATACTTACCAAAACTATGAAGCACAGTTTGATACTAATTGTGGTAAGATCTTATCCTCCTTCCAAGAAATTTAGAGTGAGGAATTTAATAATCACTTGTTTCTTGACAGATTGTCCAAGTAGCGATATATGCCAATGCTACTCCAGTTTCTTATGAATTGGCTCAAATGGATTCCAGTAAAGGCGGCCAATCATGCATATCACTATTCAAAAATTGTTTCAATCCATTTGCTTCTGACACCAGGAAAAAAGGACAATTCTCATTCAGCTTCAACTGTAGAATCAGGTGTGGTACATGATAAACCACATGTTTCAGTAATTTATAAATTTTTCATTTTCTTATCACCAACTTATTAGGAAACAGGCTAACATCTTCATGATCCATTTTGAATTTATTTTACAGGCTTCCACAGAGGATGAAATCAAAATCAATCCTTTTCTTGATGATGAAACCATTAACGGCAAATGGTCAACCACTTTCACCTCCATCCAAGAACAAAATGTAAGTAATAAATGTGAAATTGAGCAAAGTAGCCAGGGAGGGGTTTTTTTGTATGTACAGCAAGCTGATACATATTTTTTCACATGTTGGATCAAATTTGTTTCAGGAGGAACAAATTGAAAAATGTCCAGTATGCCTTGATGAATTAACTGATCCTAAAGAATGGTATAATTGCAAGCACACCTTTCATGAATCATGTAAATCAAGATGGGAAAAACAGGCATATACATGTCCCCTCTGTAGGGGAGAAGACCCTTCCCTTCCAATTTACCAAGAAATAAAAAAAGAAGGATATAAAATCAAAAATGCTTGCAAACAAGCTTTTGAAGTACTTGGAAAGCCGTATAAATATACAAGTGTGAGTTGTTCAAATGTATATACCAACAGCAGAGATGGATGTATTCTGAACAATTTCTAAATAACAGTTTAGTGAATTATTACATGCTCACAAAGTAGCAGTTATTCAGAGAAAATTTGTAGAAAAGCACCCTTCAATAGCTAAAGAAATTGACTTATATGTAGACTGGGAAAAAAAGTGCTTTGCCATCAACTGAAGAAGCCTATATTTACATATAATGGAATAGTTACTTCATTCTTTTCCATAATATCAGCACTATAACATGGCTGTGTTGGATTTTTTATCTCTTCTGAAACTTCAGGACTCCTACTAAAATCTAATTTTTCAATATTACACATGATATCTCATAAAAAAAAATTGAATGCTTCCAATCAACAAGGCAAGAAAAGAAAATAGTAAAACAATCCTCAAATCAAAAGTTTGTGAACCTTTTTTGGTATCTCTTGATCCAGGCACAATGGATCTGTTTTGTGCAGAACTTAGTTGGTCCTGCTTGCAATGCTTTTCATATAGGGACTCGGAAAAAACACTCCCGTTTTTTTGCCAACAACTCCCAACAACCATCAGCGGATGTCCATTGGGAGTCCTCTTCTAAAGTGTGGGCGGATTCTGGGAGTCGTCCGCCCAATTTCATTTTCATTTTTTTTTTTTTTTTTTTTGGGAGTTGACTCCCCAAACCACCCCTCATGTATGAGGGGGTTTGGGAGTCGCTCCCTCCCACTTGACCAGAAGGAACCCCTTCTGGTCAGTGAGGAAGCTAAACCTCATTGACCGGAAGGGACCGGA